CGTGCATTTGCTAGTCACAGCACAGGGGCTTCTCTGCTCCAGACCTTTGCCTAGGACACAGCCAGGCCCACGGTCCCAGGCCCGCTTGGGCTGACGTTGCTCCGCCCTCCGTGATACCCACGCTGTCTGTCCTCGCCTCTGTCCCCCTCACTAGAGCTTAGCGATAATTAACAGATGTGTCTGCACGCCTGCTTCTCTGTCTGGGCCTTCTGTTCTCCACCCAGCACCTGAAACAAGATTGAGAATCACCAGTGTGCGGCAGCAACAACGCTTCCTGTGGGCTAGACACTGATCTCAGGACAGGCTTTGTTGATTTTGTCAGGATTTTAAAAAACAAAGCAAAGTGGGTTTTGTTGCCATTCTTCTTGAAGATTCAGGCTTTGGTTTAGGACGAGAGAGGGGGTCTGGGCTCTGAGGTTTCAGCAGAGGCTGCTCCCCACCCCACCCCAGCCCCCAGCCAGGGCAGGTGTTCTCGGGGGTCTTCCCTCATCTTCCCTGTGCACATTTGGGGGTTAGGGGGTGATGCTGTTGGATTCTGGCAGAAAAACCCTTTGAGAAGGTGTCAACTCTCCTGCATCCCAAGAAGCTGATGCTTGAGTCTTGTCTCGTCCCGCAGGTGTTTGCACGCTCTCCAGATGTGCGGTTAGTGTTTGCCTGGGCACTTCAGCATTAGCTGGTATCCTCTTCTGTTTCCTTGTTGTTTTAAGGGTGAGACTGACATTCTTTGTGACTCTACATCTGAGCTGAACTGGGTAGTTCTTAGAACACGGGAATTTTGAGAAACTGAAATGAGTTCAGAGAGCTAAAGGCAGAGTCAGGAGAGTGGGGAGGCTGGGGAGGAGGGCACGAGTGTGCTGGGCTGTGCACGGCAGCTCCAGGCCAAGAGGAGTTTCCTGTAAGGGTGGCCAGACCTCTTGTTTTAAACAGACATATAGAAACAGATCACCAGCCCAGGTTGGATGCATGAGACAAGTGCTCGGACCTGGTGCACTGGGAAGACCCAGAGGGATCGGGTGGAGAGGGAGGTGGGAGGGGGGATCGGGATGGGAAATACATGTATATCCATGGCTGATTCATGTCAATGTATGACAAAAACCACTACAATATTGTAAAGTAATTAGCCTCCAACTAAAAAAAATAAATAAATAAAATATAGCAAAAAAATAAAAAAATAAACAGACATATAACAGGGTCACAGAACGCTGTTAAGACCTCCTTGTGCTTGAAGGAGATAGAAGTGGATACAGAGATGGAGTTCTGTGGGCGAGGTGAGGGATGACAATGGCTCGGACTAGTGGTTGAGCTGGGACTGTAGGGAAATAGACAGGTTTCAGAGAGATCTCGGAGGTGACATTGCTACCACTAATTGATTCACTGGACATTGATTAAATGCCCTCTCTGCAAGGGTGTTGGAGCAGTGAGTACAAAAGGCCTCCTCGCTGCCCTCTTGGAATGACTGTTAGGTTTCTGGCTTGAGCTCCTACATGGATGGCTGTGCCGTTTGCTGGGAAAAATAATGTGTTTGATGCCACATTGGCCAGGATTACAAGTTCAGTTTTAGTGTTGAGTTAGAGGTCAGTAAAGCATCCCTTTGTTAGACTAATCAACTTTTTGGTGAGCACCCAATTAAGGGAAACCTTTTAATGGAGACAGTGACATGTTCCTGAGTCTTAGTTGTTTGTGAAATGACAGCTTCACTATAATTGTTCCCCATGAAACAGTGTCATGTCACAAATATAGTTTGGATCAATTAAAGCTAGTCCTTCCTTAATCTTTACCGAGGAAGAACATAATTATTAGATCTTACAGGTTATGTGGTAAAACTTAGATATACTCTGTGCTGGTTTACCATCTTTATAATCATTTGAAAAGTTTCTTATTTACAGATGTAGCATTTGTAATATGATAGTATATTTGTCAAATAATAATTGGCATCTGGGGAAAAATCATTGGTCTTGGAAGTAACACTTTCACCTTCTATTCAGATCTGTGCACAAATGGAATCATTAATAAAACTGAAGACTAATGTGTACGAGGGTCTTACTGTCTGTCTTACCAGTACAGCCATCAGGTAGAAAACATACCCTGGCTTCTGGAAGGACTGACCTTATTTGGGAGGATTTCTAGAAGCTCAGGGAAGGGCTGAGGTGACAGAGAGGGTGCTGAGCCCCAGGCCTGCAGGTGTCGCGGTCAGACCTCGGACGGAGAGGGGACGAGGCCCAGAGGGTGAGGGACAAGGGGCGTTGGCGGGGGCTGGCGGGGGGGAGGCAGAAGGGATTGGACGCCCGAGTGCATCTTACCCGAGGCTGGTCCCTGAGAGCACAGGGCCTGTAAGAGGAGTGCTGGAATCTCCTGGTTTGATGTGTTGTCAAGTGACTTGAGTATCATATTCCATGGACATCCATTGCCTCGGTGTGAAATTCAGTATTTGCACTGGATGCTTTGTAAGGTCTCTTAATTTTATTAATTGGTAGATATTTAACTATTACAGACGTGATGTAAATGTGACTGTTTGAACACTCATTTTTATGCTCTCCTTGAAACCTGCAAAAATGAATATAAATGAATGAAAACGGCACAGACCTATGAAGGTAAGAATGGGCATGTGAGGCAACTTTAGTTAAACGATGTTAGTTTAACTAACATTAATTTGGTGGTTGCAAAATAAATGGATAAGTGGTGATGACTTAGGAGACCAGAGAAAGCAGAATCCTGAGCTTGCAGGGGAGGAGAAAGCAACCAGAAAGATGCTTATTAGTGTGGAAAACCTCCCTGAGAAGACTCGGGAATTGTTGATAGCAGTTACTATGGAGCTGCATTGATGGGGTAGAACTGTCAAGAGAGGACATGGTGGAAAGTCTCTGCGTGGAGGTTTTTAGACTACTGGATACTCTTCCCAGCTGAGCAAACCCAGCATCCTCCATTCTCACCCTCGCAGGGGACGGGAGATTTCCTGAGAGTCTGAGCGAGAGCAGCTTTGGCTCTGAGACCCAGATGGATGGAGCTCAGGGCTGCAGGGAGGTGCGCACTGAAGATGAGGGAAGTGTCCCTTTAAGTAGAGGTGTGTGTGCTTCACAGCGAGGCTCTCCGTGTTCCTCCTCCTAGGGAGTTAGGGAATCCCTATTCAGGGAAATGCCTAGCACAAGAGCAGAGAAATGCAGCGTGGACATTGATGTTTGAATAGCTTTGGGTGATAGAACCGGGCCGCTGTGTTGCGGTGTATTGTTACATACGGTTGTCAGGTTGCACGCATGTGCAGAAGCAGAAAGTCCAGTTAGCATTTTAGCTTCAGTTTAAAAATTTTAAAAACAAAAAGCAGAGGGTGACCAGTCATGTGAGGAAAACCCATAATGTAGCAGGAAATAAATTCTCCAAACAAAAAGGGTAAGAGGCATCTGTGGAAGACACACATACTGTTACTGGAAGCTTCCCGGTGTGGGGGTGGGGCACCTAGTGCCATTACCAGCCTCAGAAAGATAAGAACTCACATCACTTCCATAAAATGTTTTTAAATGCCACAAAGAAGGAACCAGCATAAGAAAATAGTGTTGGTGGTTAAAACATTTGATAGCAGAAATGAAAAAAAAACAGTGGATGTATAGGAAATATAATTAAATCTCCCTGAAAGTAAAGCAGAGAGATGAAGGAATGAGGAGGAATAAGAGAAACTTAGACCCTGTTCAGTAGGCCCAGTGTTCGAACAGGAGAACTTCCAGAAAGATAAAACAGAGAAAATGGAGAACAAGAATAAAGTAGGGTGGGTTGAGAGATTGATTTCTTTCCCCCCACTTTGTAGTATTATTTGATATTTTAAACTCTGTACATTTCACCTCTATAGTTTTTAAGTAACTTACTTAAATTTTAAAAAGCAAAAAGTAATTACATGTAAAGGTTAAAAATAGAGAATTTAGTTTTTGTTAAAGACCAATAAGATAGAAAGTGGGCAAAGAAAAAAGCACCATTTTGATTTTTTTTTTTAAAGTACGTATTTCAGGAAAATTGCTTCAATTACCACAGAGACATTAGGAGCGATTTTGTCTTAAAAACAGCAACCGCACAGCAGTGGCCTACCTCCTGGAATGTGGCTCATATCAAAGCTGGACCACCACAAGTTTGTAATCAACAGTCTTGCCAAAGAGACGTTTCTCTCTTGGTAAATGGGGCTGATTTTCTATCTGAAAAGCACGCAGGATTCTTAATTACCATACGGGTTTTAAAAGTTATGTAAAATTCCTAACAATACTTAGTTCATTCAGTTGTTATCTATTGTCTATTATGTGCCATGCATTATTTTAAATTATTTATTTGTGTGGACCCACTTAATCCTCAGAATAGACCTGTGAGGAGAGGTCCTGTTGCCATTTGTGATTCCCATGTCACAGAAGAGGATACCAGGGCCTGGTTACCCCAAGCCCAGGGTCTCTCAGCAGAAAAATGGTATAGCCAGGTTTTAGAGTCCTCAGTCTGTAGTTCTCCTGATTACTTCGCTGCTACTCTGCGTGTTCAGCAGAGCCCTAGGTGTCTCGGCTGACTGGATGGGTGGGCACCCAGACCAGCCCTCAGGGCTGATTAACTCCGGCCTGGGTGCTCGCCAGGTGGAAGGACGCAGGTGCTTCGTGGTGACAGTTAGAACACCTTACAGGACACCTGTGACTGTTTCCCCCAGCCTGCTCGTGGTTGGTATTGAATGGATGTGGAAATTGTCAGGATGGCAACTGAGGAATTCTGGGAATTAACTTCACTTACAATTTGTAACAAATACAGTCACCACTGGAGTGACTTGCTAGGAAGAAATACATGTTTTTTGAAATTTTACCCTTTTTAGCCCTATTTGATGCAGTCTGTGGGAAACGTTGTAGGGTGATGCTATAGCAGGAACTTAAATTATTTGTCATTAATCAGTGATGTGCAGCACACTGCAGTGTCTCCTAAAATTCAGGAAATAAATTGCTTTCTTCAGATACGAATGTTACAAGTTGTTTTTTTTTTATTTTTCCTAGTTCAACTTTGTGGGAAAACTTTTGGGGCCACGTGGAAATTCTCTGAAGCGTTTACAAGAAGAAACCTTAACAAAAATGTCTATCCTTGGCAAAGGCTCCATGAGAGACAAGGCGAAGGTAAAGCTTGCTATAAACAATGGCTGCTGTTTCAGTCAAGGCATATAATGTGCTTTCAGATCGTCCACGGCGTTAATGCATGTTACATAAAAGCTAGCTAGGATCCCAAGTGAAATTATAGGAAAATGCTGTATATGGTGATACATTTGTGACACTATGCAAGTTGGGTCACTCAGGCCAATTTCAGAATATGTAGTATCTTAAACCAAAATCTGTAACTATTATTTTAATTTATGGAGTGAAATAGTAGCACCATGCTTTTGCTTCTAGAAGCAATACCTTCTAGAAAGTGCAGTTGTATTGAAATTATCATGAGGAGGTAAGTTATCTAACATCTCAGCATCACTATTTGCATTTTAGATTAGTTTCTTCGGGTCTTTTTTTCTGTGCCTGTGTTTCATATTGTTGAGTTTTTAAAGTATATGCTTTTATTTGCTCTTTTTGCCCTTCTTTTGTTACCCCGTGCATTTTTTATCAAGTTAAAGTTGATCATAAATGTTTTGTTAATTGCTTCCTAACCTGACACATAGTTGTTCTACTTGGATGTATTCACATGACTGCTTCTTTTCTTAATAAACTAAAATTACTGAATTATTTTTATTGATCACTTTCTTAAATATAATAATTCTGAATGAAATGTTCACATTTCATAATGTATCACTTATGTTTTCCTATTATTATTTTGTTGTTCTCTCATTATTAAAAGATTTATATTAGTGAGAATGAAACCCACTTTCAATGATCACTTTCCATGAAATGTTGAACAATTATTGTGTCAGACAGAAAGCATATTTAGACAAAATTCAGCCTCCTCACAAAAAAGTCCATCTAAACAATAGCTTTTATAATTAAAAAAAAGCCACCATTTGTTTATTTAAAAGCCACTGTGAGTCAGGTACTCTGTGCACCATCTTACATGTATTATTACTGCATGTTATCTTTGGAAAAGTGATGACAGATACATAATATTTTTCTTATTTTGTGTCAGAAAAGTGAGATTCAGAGAATCTAAATCTGTTATCCAGGTTTATCAGTGGAATTTATATTACTTTATTAAAACAAGGCTACATATCACAGTCATATGAGATATTGTTTAAAAATAGAGTCGCCGCAGCCTGTTTCAGTGGAACCTCAAAATGAACTTTCAGTAGGTGTTTAAGGGATTCTGATGCACACCAGGTCAGGTGAGCTGCTCACGAAGCATCACTGTTGACAAATGATGTTCCTCTGATTCCCTGACTCATCTGTTGTGGCAGGAGGAGAACATGGAACCATGCATGGGTCAGTTGGTCAGAAATTGTGTGTGTCTTACTGGAAAGTATCCCATCTTTGCGGATGTCTTAGTTAAGTTTTCAGGAAGGCCATCTGGTAATGAAGTCCATGATACAACCAGTGAAGCCTGTCCACTTTGTGCTGCTCGTTTGTTATTAAGGGCCTTCCTTCTTGAGAAGCAGTGTTCTGTGCCAGTGGTCAGGGAGTCCACAGGTGGTTTTACAGGAAGAAGGAAGCACGGGAGGCAACGCCTCGGCCATACTGTACGTCCAAAGAGCAAGTGCCTGGCTGCGTGTCATCAGAGGGGTCCTAAACCATGTCAGCTCGCTAACCACGCCTGGTGGCCCTCCCAGATCTTGTGGCCATTTTAAGGGCTGGTGATTGTTCTCTGCTGCTGGCGTGTTAGACAGTCAGCAGTGACAGGAGCCAGGAATCCTTTTTGAGGGCAGTCTGTGTGCTGCATTCACGTCCGTGAGTAGCACTGAGGGGGCTGGGAGTGAGGTGCTTTGACATCTGTTGCAGTGGGTACCTGATCACAGAGGGCATGCTCAGCATCACATGGGACTCCCTGTTATTACATGCTTGAGCCTCTTTCCCAGACCAGGTATCACCCCTTCACAAATCTCTCATTTCTATGCCCTTGAACACATCAGTCAGTGGGTCAGTATGGGGATTCTTCAAATGCTGATCGTTTACATCCCATCAAGACACCTAGGAGCTGAGGACGTAGCATAGTCTACTGAGCCCACTGTCAGGGGAGCAGGACCAGAAGCACTTTATCTCTTGACCCCATAAACCCCAGTCTCATTGGTGGCCTTCAGCAGAGCATCATTTGCTCAGAATTGAGTCTGTTTGTCCTCAAACTGTATTGAGTATTTCTCCTTTTAAGTGTACACTTATTAGAGTAAGAGGTCCCAGATCCTTGTTGGAAAGACTGGAAGTAAATGTTTAGTACACACATACCAGGAATCCTACAGTTACTGTCCTCATGCAGCCTTCTCCTCTAGATTTAGCTCAGCTCTTTTATTTTCTGCATCCCCGGGGCAGGCAGGGATCCAGTCTTTGGCCAGGAGGTGATAAAGGATAGCAGAAGGAAGACATGAGAATTGTCATCTTCTTTTAAGCAGCTTCCTTGGCGGTTCAAGACAGGCTTTTGCCAGTGTGGAAGGCTCAGTGGGACTTAGTGTTTGTACTCAGAGTCACTCGGATCCTTCCAGATGTTGCCCATCCAGCTCTCAGGGTTTCATGGTCCTCCGGACACTGTCCTTAGTCCCCCATAGGGATGGCCGCAGACTGCTGGTCATTCAGCTATACATGCCCGAGCTCTGCCTGGTCCCTTTGCTCCAGCACCCTGTGGCCACAGCAGGAACACCTTCTGGGATACTTGTGGCTCTTCGGGCCTTGAACTGATCATGTCAAGTCCTGAGTCTGCCGTTTCCATCTTTGAGCTCTTCAGTGCAGTAGAAACAGCCCATTTGACCCCACCCTGCCCACCTCGTCTCCGTCTTACCCATCACGCTGTGCCATGTGGTCCATGGCTTACACCTTCAGAAGCATCTCCCTGACAGTAACCACAGTGATCGTTTCAGCGACAGATGTGTCCTGTTTGCCAGGTAGTAGTCAGATCCTCACTGCCTGACTTCAGTTTATCCTTTTTACTGACTTGTAGTCTACAGAAGTCCTCCATTAATAATGTTTATTTCTAAAGAGGTTTCCATTCCCTAGTATTACAATCTCATCCTTTTAGATTGTCATAGTGTTCATCGTTTAAGTTCTAATGTGAACATAATTCATCTTCTTCTTGTACTTGCTATATTGATAAAATTGTAGGATTCATTACTGACATGTATCAACGGGTTATATAGCATAATAATCACTAAAATGCTATGGTCTGTTGAGCTTTCAGTTTGTGTCAGACATGCTGAATGTTTGCCCACAGTGTCTGTGTTATAGGATAATACAATAATTAACACTGTCATTATATTATAATAGTTATCATTACTGTATTTATTATTTGAGTGCTTATTATATGCTAAGCATAATTCTAAAGACTTCTGATGTCTTTTGAAAGGCTCCAACACCTTTATTACTAATAACTCCTAATGACTATTATAATGGCTACTTTATTACTATAACAACCCTTTGAGCAGTAGGTACTACATTATTATTATTCATTTTAAAATCACCTCTTCAAGATAAAGATAAAATAACCTGACCAGTTGTTGGATTTGGGGTTTAAATGCAGAGCTCTATAATAAAGTCTGTGTTCTTCCCTAAACAGAGCATTGCCTCTCGTCATTAACCCAAGAAGAAACCCAGTAATAACTGCTCACTCTGTGGAGTTGCAGGACAGCTGTGGTTATGGTCAGAAAGCCTCCCTGTTCCAGCTTCAGTTTGTAATAGAAATGAAAATGTTTGCCTGTGAATCAACAGTTATAATCTCATTAAAAGCATTAGCTTGGTGCCATTATTAGAAAAAGATAAGAAATGTTTACTTCAGTAGTTCATGTTTTCAAAGATGAACTAGCGGGCATAGAATCCAGTTTTTAAGACCTCAACTTTGAAAGGCAGAGTGTCAGATCAAATAATGAAAATATTCTGATTAGAAAAAAAAAAAAAGAAAATATTCTGATTAGGACAAGAACTAGTCCACCATTGGCATAAAGAATAGTCCTTTTCACACTTGACAAATTTTGAAGGAAACGCATAGGTAGCTTGTATTTGCTCTCCCTTCAAATGATTTTTTTTCTTTTCTTTCGTTCTCTGGTCCACTTTCCATAAACGTGAAGGAAACTAGAATTTCCTGAGTGCCTGCCACACACAAGGAGTGTCCTGGGCACTATATACACCATCTCCTTTGCCAGCCTTTACACAAATTGCCTTTTTAGTCATCTCAGTGGACCTGCATTCATATACATAGCCATAGTTTCTCAGTCGTGTCTGACTCATGTGACCCCATGGAGTGTAGCCTGCCAGGCTCCTCTGTCCAAGGGATTTCCCAGGCAAAAAAACTGGAGTGTGTTGCCATTCTCTTCTGCAGGGGATCTTCCCGACCCAGGGATCAAACCTGGGTCTCCTGCACTGCAGGCAGAGTCTTTACTGTCTGACCACCAGGGTACTCATATACATGTTGTGGTTTAGTGGTGGTGGTGGTAGTGGTGATGGTTTAGTCGCTAAGTCGTGTCTGACTCTTGCGATCTCCTGGACTGTAGCCTGTCAGGCTCCTCTGTAGGTGGGATTCTCCAGGCAAGAATACTGGAGTGGGTTGCCGTTTCCTTTCCAGGGGATCTTCCCGACCCAGGAATCGAACCCCAGTCTCCTGCATTGCAGGCAGATGATTTACCAACTGAGCTATGGAGGGAAGCCCTGACACCAAATTGATTTTGCAGATCAAGTGTTGGGTTACATATAATCTGTTCAGACTCACACCCATGTTGACCAACATGGCTAAAATTCAGGCCTGTCTGGCTCTAGGTCCGCTGCCCTTTTCCTGCTCTGTATTTTGATTGCTTTTCTTCATAAGAATTCAAATTAGTTAACTAACAAAAGCTAAAGCCTTAAATCCAGGGTGTGTGTGCCTCTTTCGCCTCTTGGCTAATTCCAGGACCCGCAGGTGCTGTTGGCAGGAATCCCTGGGCTCACTCTCTTACAGCGTAGGTTTTGTGGAGCGGCTTGCAGGGATTTCTGCCTTTTGGAAATCTCTCCGGTTGTAGGTTCCTACTAATCTTTGTCTGTCTGTCTGGTCTTAATGTTGAGAACAATGACAGAATAGTAATTGTTGCTCTAATGAAGGCTTTTTGAAAAAGCTAATGGAGCAAAGTTAGTGGTCCCTTTATGATCTGAGTCCCCCCGCCTCCTGTTTTCTTCTCCTGAATTTCATTGTTTTTTTTAATGTTTCTCATAATTAAATAAAATCATATAAAAATTTTCATTTATTTTATTCACTGTTTTCTTCTCACACAGAGTATAGGGCCTGGCATTTGGAAATATTTTTCGAATGAATATATGAATGAGCAAATGAACATAAAAATGAATATTTACCTACTCATTCAGAAATATTCATTGAGCATCTACTATTTACCAAGCGCTTTTCTAGACACAGAAGCATGCAGTAAAACAAGACAACCATGGGTTCTGCTCCATGGCAGCCACTTTAAGTGAGAGATTAGAAAATGGACCAACAGTAAAGTATTTTAGATAGATTGATAGATACGCACAGTGTAACCAGCACAGACGCGGGCCTGGCTGGGCGGCCTGTTTGAGGAGCACAGAGGAGTTCTCTGCGTGCCTGGGGGGTGAGCCAGCAAGGCTGGGGGTGTGAAGAGAGTCAAGAGGAGCACAGAGGAGTTCTCTGCATGCCTGGGGTGGGGGTGAGCCAGCAAGGCTGGGCGGGTGAAGAGAGTCAGCCGGCACGCATGGCCTTGGCTAGACAGCAGGAGGACTCCAGGGCCAGAGGCAGGACTGGAGGCTTCCTCCCGTGCAGCAGGAAGCCTGTGGAGTCTCCATAAGGACCCTGGGAATGACAGAATCATGTATGTGTTTCAAATGTACTTTCTTGGGTGGTGTTTGCTGCTGAGTGAATCTTTAGGACCACCATGTGCTAAATAAACTTGGTAGTTTTTATTTTCTTTTTCTTTTCTTACAATGACACCCTTTTAAACATGGGTTTTCTTTCTTCAGGAAGAAGAGTTGAGGAAAAGTGGAGAAGCAAAGTACTTCCATCTCAATGATGATCTCCACGTTCTCATTGAAGTTTTTGCACCCCCAGCAGAAGCCTATGCCCGGATGGGACATGCTCTGGAAGAAATCAAAAAGTTCCTCATTCCAGTTAGTACAGTGTTTCTTGATAATTAATTGGTACTTGAAAGTTCTCCCTTTGTTTTAATTCTGGATAATTCTAATCAGCAATTGTTATTTGCATAGCGCTTGATCTGCTAAAGTGTCCCTGTGAACTGCTTGGCATCTTTCCTTCTTTTTCTGTGAGGCCAGGTATTTTGAAAGAGACGAGGCAATACAGCTCAGGTGACCCAGCAAGAAAGGTGAAGAGCAGTCACTAGTTTGTGTTTTGGGTTGCAAGTCCTAAGCCTTTTTGTGACACTGAAGTCCCCTCACAGGTTCGTTGCTGTGCAGCACGAGCTCGGTGGTGCCGGCCACGAGCCAGGCGCTGTGCTTGGAGCTGGCGTGTGGACTGAGCGCGGCCCCAGCCTCGCGGCTGTGTGGTTTAGGGAAGGGTGCATGCAGACGATTTCTGTGTAGCTTGACTAGGGTGACAGACAAGAGCAGACGAGCACAGAGGGGAAGGGTGCTGTGCGGACATTTATGTTTTCTTAACAGTTAGTGGTCGTATTAATCCTTTTCAGACACCTTGACGTTGCTGAGAATATGATAATTTAAAGAGAATATATCCCTATTTCCACTACAAGAGTTAATGTAGGCCTTCTGTATAATTTGCATGTTCTAGATTTAAAAAACAAAAACTTGGACCTGTCTAGATTTAAAAAAAACAGAAATTGAACCTCTTCAGACAGTTTACTATAGAGAAACTGTCACCTCCACTAACAGCTGTCTGGGGTCAGATCGTGCTCAACAAATGCAGTGGATTGACTTGCTGCACTGCAGCCTGTGTCATGATTACATTATCTGTGAGGAAACTGTCACATTTGTAGGGAAAGCATGTTATAAATCATGACTGCCTTGGAAAAACCAGGGCATAAGATTGGATTAAGTACTTTAATTTGGGAACTTAATATAGTTAGCTTTTTATGGTTCTGTCAAGCCAGTTAAGATGATCCTATTATTCATTTAGTTTAAAAACAAAGTTTCTAAGTGCTTTCTATTTTTTTTTAATTTTTTTATTTTTATTTTTTTTCCATTTATTTTTATTAGTTGGAGGCTAATTACTTTACATCATTGCAGTGGTTTTTGTCATACACTGAAATGAATTAGCCATGGATTTACATGTATTCCCCATCCCGGTAAGTGCTTTCTATTTGATAGACACGTGTAAACCAATACACGACATAGTCCCTGCCCTTATGGGGCTTATGTAATGGGAGAGACAGGTTAGATTCAGATATTTATATAAATGACTTTAAAATTGCGACTCTGACAAGAGGAAGGAGAGGTTTACTCCCCTCGTGGCCATTCAGTGTGGACTGGGGAGTGCCGGCTCAACCAAACCGGAGAGACTGTCCCCAGAGGTGGCCGTGGCAGGCCTCCACCCTGTCTCTTTCCACTCTCCACCAAGACGCAGGTGCCAGCTGCTTTCACCTTGAACCTGAGCAGGCCAGAAGACTCTTGCCTAACCCAAAGTCACAAAGAATTTCTGCTGTGTTTTCTTAACATTTTATGGTATTAACTCTCTGGTTTAAGTCTATGATCCACTCAAAGTTAATTTTTGTTTATGGCACTAGATTTAGCATCTAAATTTATCTTTTTCTATGTAGGTGTCCAGTAGTCCCAGCACCATATACTAAAAAGACAATTCTACCCCTGTTGGATTGCCTTGGCACCAGTATTGAAAATTAACTGCATATAAATGTATGAATTTATTTCAGTATTCTCAGTTCTGTTCCATTGATTAATGTACCTGTCCTTATGCCTGGACCATGCTCTTAATTACTTCAGCCTTAGCGCAGATTTTGAAATCCAGGTTGTGTAAGTTCTGCAACTGTGTTCTTCAAAGTTGTTTTGTCTTTTTTGGCTGTTTTGCATTTTTATGTTTCTTTTACATTTAGCTTGTGGATTTCTACCAAAAAAAAAAAAAATTCCTAGGGTTTTGACACTATAGAACCTGAAGATCACTTTGGGGATAATTTCCATCTTAACAATATAACATCTTCCTATCCATGAACTTGAAATGTCTCTCTGTTTTTAAAAAAGATACTTAAATTTTTTTCTCAGCAGTGTTTTATTATAGTTTTCAGGATCCCAGGCTTGCATTTCTTTTGTTAAATTTGTTTCTAAGTATTATATACTTTTCGATGTTACTGTGAATGGAACTGTTTTTGTAAATTTGATTTTCAGACGGTTCCTAGCGTACAGAAATGGAGTTGATCTTATTTGACCTTGCTGGATGTGTTTGTTAGTTTTAGCGTGTGGATGGCCACAAGGGCATACAGAGTCATGTGATCTGTGAATAAAGAAGCTCTACTTCCTTTCCTATCTGATGCCTTTCATTTTTTATTAATTTTATTTTCTTCTTTATTGCACTAACTAGAACTTTTTCAACGCTTTGTTGAATAGACGTGAAGATGGAAATCCTTTTCTTATTTTCAGTCTTTTACCAGTAAGTGTGATGTTAGCTGTAGGGTCTTTTTTATTGCGACTCTTTATCATGTTGAAGTTCTATTGCTAGTTGTTAAGAGGTTTTTTGGCTTTGTTTTCATTTTATCACAAATGGGTGTTGGATTGTGCCAGATGCTTTTTTCTGTCCATTGAGAGGATCATGTGATTTTTCTTCTTTATTCTGTTAATCCTAGTGTGTTGCATAGTTGAATTTCAGATGTCAAGCCAACCATGCAGTCCAAGGTTAAATCCTCCTTGGTGTTAGGATTTAACCAACTTGATATATAGTCCCTTTTATATGTTGCTGGGGTTTGCTTACTAATAGTTTAAGGATTTTCACATCTATAATCATAGGGGATTGGTTTGTAGTACAGTATTTATATAGACATTAACACACACATTTATTATTTTTGGTGCTGTTCATTTCTTTATGCAGAGAGAGTTGCCATATGATATGATGCTGCTGCTTTTCAGCCTGAAGGACCTCCTCTAGTCTTTTTTGTAACATGGGTCTGCTAGCAAAATTGTTCTTTTTTTCTCAAAATGTCTTTATTTCACCTATATCCTAAAGTTTAGTTTACAAGCATACTTTTTTTATTGCACTTCATTTTACTATGCCTCAGAGATACTATGTTTTTTACAAATTGAAGGTTGTGACAACCCTGTGTCAGGCAAGTCTGTTGGCATCATTTATCCAATAATGTTTATTTACTTCCTGTCTCTGTGTCACATTTTGGTAATTTTTACAGTATCTCAAGCTTTTTAAAAAATTAATTCTGTTGTTTGTTGTGGTGATCTCTGATCAGTGATCTTTATTACTACTATTACTACTGGGACTCACTGAAAGCTCAAATAATGGTTAGCAGTTTTTAGCAATAAAATATTTTTTAATTAAGGTAGGTACTTTTTTTTTTTTTAAGACACAATGCTATTGCATGCTAATAGACTATAGTATAATGTTAGACATAACTTTTCTAGGCATTGAGAAGCTAAAAATTTTGTATAACTTGCTTTATTGCAATATTTGCTTTATTGCAGTGATCTGGAACCAAACCCACAATATCTCTGAATTATACCTGTACATAATTCTTGGTTGGTGGTTAGGTAGTAAAAGACCATTCATCTATTTTATAACCTCCACTATTTTTGATGGGAAGAGTCATTAATTATTTTGTTCTGTACATGATCTGTTGTTTTTCTCTTGCTGCTACTCAGGCTTTCTCTTTCCAACAATTTGACTTCGGTGTACATGTTTATCTTTCTTGTTCATTAAGCTTTGTGGATATGTGGATTTATGTCTTTCTTCAGATATGGGTAGTTTTCACCCATTGTTTCTCTGGATTTTTTCCCACCTTACTTTTCCTCCCCTACCCACTCAACCTCTGGATTCCCATTATGTGTATGTTGGTACATTCGATTGTGCCCTAGGATCTCAGACTCATTTTCCTTCATCTGCTTTTCTCGTTTTTCAGAGTGAACACTTTTAGTTGACTTACCTTCAAGTTCATTGATTCATTCTTGTGCCATCTTAAATCTTTTGATGAACTCCTCTATGTAACTTTGCATTATAGTTATTTTGGGTTTTTAAAAATCTTTTTTGCTAGTCCATATTTGAGTCCTCTCCTGGGAAGTTTCTTCCTGCCCTGGGTATGTGTGATATTTTCATTTCTTTGCATGTCTCTTAGGTTATTGGTGAGAACACCCCATTTTGGCTAATGTTTTGCAATGAATCTGATTCCGATTCATTATTTCCCAGAGGGTTGTTGTTGTAGGTTTTTTCTTTTCTTTTCTTTAATAATTTATTTGGGCTAAAACTGCAGTCTGTCTCCTTTGTGGTCTAAAGTTTTGTTAATTTTTTTATTTCTCAATTTTATTCTTAAGCCTGGCCTTCTAGGAGTTTTCTCTGGGTCAGCATTGCTGAGAGATCGACCAGCGACTTGTCAGAGGTTGTGCTTAACACCTGTGTCTGTAGGGCTTTCACCTTCTGCGGATGGAACTGGCTGTCATGGGGAGTATAGTCAGGTCCCCATTTGCCCTGGCTTTTGCTTTCTGCCAGGAATCCTTGTATCCCCTTTGCGTGGACACACACTCACTATCAGGCAGAGAGCTATCAAAGCTCTGCATGGCTGGTAAATTTGTGGCTAATCTGCCAGTCTTTCTGTTTGTTGCTTGTGCCACCCCAAACCTGATTATTAGACTTGCTGACTGATCTTCTCTGGTCATTCACTACCGGTTGCTACTAATATTGACAGTGCTGCTGGGCATGAAGCTTTTTCATTTGTTCTTTGAAGTTGAGTGAACCTCCTTCTTCTGTTTCTTGTGGTTTACCATCCTAGTAGAACTCACACATCATCTGGGCAGGGAGGAGGGATAGAAGCATTCCCAGACAAAATCCACAGGCTCCCACCCTTCTTACCTGAGACTTAGCAGTTTTTCACAAACAGATTTATTGTATTTTCCATTTATCGTATCCCTTCAATAAGTTTCCAGAGTTCTAAAATTGTTTTTAACTATTCAGTCAGCTTTTATTGTTGCTTTTT